CTATATTTTTGAGTTTTTTTCTTCTAATAAAAAATCATCTGTAAGCTGCTCTTCGGCATTATTCTCAAAGAAGATCATTCTGAATTTGTTCAGAAAATTCCGTCGCAAAATCGTCTACATTTAATTAATACCCGACTTTGCTTCACTTTTCCATATTTTGTCTCCTAATTTCCAACAGATTAGAACCTCATAGTCAGTGTTCACTTCTACTTTTGCAATTGATCTATTATCGTTTTGTAGGCGAATCTATATTAAAAAATTAAGAGACAACTGTTTTGTATGTGTACGTAAATAAGATAGTATTTATGTTTTAATAAGTTATTGATATTCATTTAAAAATCTGTATTTGCATGCTTAAGATTGTAAATGTGAAAAGTCGAACGTAAACGTGCTTCTGTAGCATTACTTACAGAATGGTTTTGTCCGTATTTACCTGTTTTTTCAAGTACAAAAAGTTACAAGGTTCCAATACTGTTCGTAGGTTTTTGCAAATGTATTTTTAAAAAATACGTTAATGCGGATGCAAATTAAATGAAGTATGGCGCGCGGCGATCTACTTGTCGCATTCAACGGGACCTACATACACTAACTCAAAAAATATTCGGACACCTACGATTTTTTCCTATTTTCTTTTATTTAGAAGAAAATATTAAACTTGGCGTAATTTTGGTTGTAAATAAAAAAACACATTTCATACGGTTGAACAACATGCAAGTTTAATTTTCACATTAAAAATTATTAAATTACAATAAATTTGAAGAAAACAATACTTCGAAACGTAAAAAAATATTCGAACACATTATATAAACCAATTAATAAAACTAAATAAAACAAAAAATAAACACGTCAATAATTTGTAGGGAGTTCTTTCATTCAACCTCTTTGGAATGCGGTCTACGAGTTTTCTTGTAAACTCTAGAAAGCTCTACCCACACCACTCGCCGCCTTGTATTCTAGCCCCACACCATTACGTTCCCACCTCCGTGTTTCACTGTTGGGTGCTGATTCTTCTCTTGCAACTGTGTTTGCCTTTCTACAACCAACGTTCTTCCGCCAGGTCCTAACACATTGAAATTACTCTCGTTTGATAATAATCGTTTCCGCCATTCAATATCCTTGTTTTTATGCTCCTCAGCGAACTCCTCGCTTCGTATATCTTATTTATGAAAGGTTTTCTTCAAGCCAAGCGACCATGAAATTCTGCTTTTCGTAGAATCACTCTATTGTTTCTGGATGTACTTCCCCAGTTTTTTTCTTACCTCTATAGCGATCTTTGGTGCACTTAATTTGGGATTCTTTTTAATCTTTCTGATGACGTAATCTCTTCTCGACGGGAAAGTTTATTGGGACGTCCACTTTGGCGGTGAGACTGAATCCTCTATCTTCTTTTTTAAATCGCTTGATAATATCACATGCCGTGCTTTCCTTCATATTAAGATATTTTGCAATTTTTGCAGCTCTTGCCTTTTGCATTATGAAAAATAACTGACAGTTCGAAAGACCTGTTCTTTCCTTTTCGAGGAATTCTTTCTACATTCAAGTAGAGGCACTAATAGACTAATTTTTGACAGCGATTCGTTTGACCGTTACAACAGTCCATGAATCAACCGTGGGAAAAGTTACATCTGTTTCCGCCCAATAGTTCGTTGACATTATTTATTTGAAGTGCAATTTCCATTATTGGAAGATATAATAGCAATTTATCATTGATGTAAAAGCAGAAAAACGCATTTTGCAGTGTACGATTAGTCATCTACAAGATTTCAAGGCTCATGCCACATTGTTGAAAAGAGCAAAAGGCATGCCAATTTTACCTTTACTCCACATCCTTAATTGTTCAACACAAATATGTCACCTTTTTTTGGAACCCGTTTTTTGTTCAGATCTCCAACTAGTTCAATACCAAAGTAGGGATGGTATGCCTTTTAACTAAATTTGTAATGTTTCATCTTCTTTTACTTGCTACAAAACTGTCTCAAAATGCGAAAAAATATATGAGGATTATTTTTACATTTTCTGAAAGGCTTATTTTTTTAAAACACACACATCAAGCAAATAAAGATTCCTCTAAGAAAAGTAACTGCTCACTAACTTAAAACTGATAGTTTACTCAACATTCAGCAAGGTAAATGTAAGAAGTATTGTTACATGCTACAGTGTTGACAAACTAACAATTTCAACAAATTTCATATTTGCTTGCTTTCAATAGAATTGTACAAACCAGATATGTCCAATAGATTCATCATAAAAGTAGTAATTGTGAAAAAATGGTACATGATAAAGAAATGTTTGTATTTTCAAATTGGGATGATGTACTTTGTATAGAGGACATATTTTAAAGAAAACCCCAGAAACAAGCAGACCAGTGTAATGTTTCATACAATGAGAGTTCAGGAATTGTAGACTGCTTTGACAATGTTGAATAATGACAAACATGTTCATAGTCTTTTAAAGATGCTCAAAATTTTTAAAAATTGTATTAATTTTATTGAAGTTTTGATCAATAGGTGGATGCACTGGGGTTGAATGTGAATTACAATGACATTAAATATTTGGCAAAAATAATTGACCCACATCTCTGATTTCATTCTGAATTGGCTTTCATAAACTAATAATTACTGATTTTAAAATATGTCATAACTTCCCTCCATATTTTCAATATCAGTTTTGATTTTTAAGGCACACTAGTGGGAACCTGTCAAATGTTGATATCTGAAATAATAAAAAATACTGTTCATAAAGCAAATTCTAAAATAGAAAGAAGAAAAAGCAAACTTCCCTTAAATAACACTTATTTATGCATCTCTGTAGATATTCACATTTTCAGGCATCTAAAATATATAATTGTTCATTGTCATACTGTTTGAATCTTCAGGATACAACCATTATATTCTATGATGTGGAGTTCCCAAACTTTTGGACACACAGGGCCCATGACCAGGTGGCACTGCAATATCTGCACTGAACAACACAAAAAACAATGTTCTATTATATATTATTTAAGTTTTTTGATGTGACATCAACTACAAACTGCTTAATTTTTTTTCTGACACACTGCTCAAAGGCAAACTTATTTTTCCATTGAAGCAAATCCATAAAATGTTTGCAGAATTTCTTGCACATGAGACGTACAAAGCAGAACAAAACTGACATTTCGTGGTTGAAGACCCCATAGAAAACTTAAATTATTTCAATATTAAAAAAATTGTGTCGCCTTTCTCTTTCCTACATCCAGTTAATGTCAGTTTGTGTCTTTTAGGGTGCATGGGCAACGATTCGGAATGTGATATAACATCTGCACAACTTCACTAAAACCGAACAAATTCCACTGAGCAAATCTTCTCTACATACACCACAAAAACAAATACATGCAACTAGTCACTACCAAAATGCAAGCATTACTCCTGAAACACAACCTTGATGAATTGTACACAATATACTCTGAATCAAGTTCTTACATCTATCAATACAGTCATATCTACCAATAATTGAAACAGACAGCCTTTGTAACAAAACAATTAACTACTGACAAGCATGCTGTTAAAGAATTTATTTCATGAATTTACACTGGTGAATAAACACAAACAATATCTGATAACACATCTAGGGAACACATTCTTTTATTTGAAGGAAAATGAAATACAATCATTCATTTTAATATATAGATAGAATAGATTGGGAGATATCGCAAAAACAGATGATTTGTCTTGCCCCTCATTCTGCCCAAAAGGATTATCACTGGCCTGTGAGCTTCATACCAGAGTGCCACATGGCTGAAAAAAAGGAAGAAGTAATCAACTGAAAAGTTGTTTCACTTCTCACCTGGCATTTACATCCCCTGTGACACCCAACTGACCATCCAGAGCCGTTTTGTTTGGTGTGAATGTTACATGTTGCCACATTTCCACAATCCTGTGAATACATTAAAATATTATTGGTGCAAATTTTTTTATCACAATACAGTGCAAAAATGTTTGCTTACAGCAGATTCACCAAACTGCAGCTTTCAGAAGAGGGTCCAAGAGTAATAGCATCTAGCTCCTTTATAGTGGGCTCATTCCTCTTTCAGGCCCTAACATTCTTAATCCTCAAGAAAAGCTTGGATTAGTTTAAGTGTAAAGTGATGACAATGACAATTGAGCATTTCAGTATCTCTGGACAACTTCCACAGTTAATAAAAAATCATGATTAATAATAAAAACAATCTTATTTTTTATTTAAATTTAATATTCCCATTTGGTAAAACTTTTAGATTCTTGAAAAATAAAAAAAGATTGAAGAGCTTAGTAGAACAAAGGGGTTATTCCACATTGGCCTAGTTCTCAGATACTGAGGGTTTTACTAGAACTTTCATAAACTAACTCAGAAATAATGGATCAGTAAAATCTTCATGGGAACTCTACTTTTTTGTACATATCAAGGCAACATTTTGCAAATCATGAGAAAAAATCTTAATATCATTAAATTTGTTGGAATTTACAATAATTGTTGTTTCACCTACATTGGTTTCTGTCCTTTAAATACCCTCACATGCCCTCAAATGGATCAATTAGACCAAATAAATATGCATTTTGAGCATTCTAATTAACCAGAATACAGAAATCACAGATTACAGCACCTTTGCCATCAATTGAAAATGAAGTGAATGAACACCATTATCTTTTGCAAAGGTTAATGTCAACACGCATAAACTTTGCCTTTGCCTTCACTCTAAGATTTTCTTTTCAGTTTTCTGGATGTATTTTCCTTCTATTATGAAATTCAAACATTGAAACCCTGCCAATTTCCAAACATCAGCACAGCTAAAGTAAGCTAACTATCTTTGCGGGGTCTCAAATCAGATATCCATTTTTGTAGACTTGTGCAATCAAGAAACTTGCTTCATACATCAGAGATATCACATTTGTCCAAGGCAAATGTCTTAGAATTTCTACACAATGCTTTGACAATTAAATAAATTCTTCAAACACAAAGTATTCATTCTTATCTTTTTATTAGACTTTTTTTTTACAAATATAAAATAAAATTTAAAAATTAGACACAAACCACATATGGACACATTTTAGAGAAGAGAGCTTTTTGCTGACTATAACAAAAATGTGCTAAACGCACAGATTATTTTTCTATCTTAAAACATCAGGTCTGATTTTAACCTAATGTTAATACTAGACTGATTAAGAAATTAATATTATTGAAACAGTATTATTAAAGCAGGCTGAAAGTAGTTCCTCCTGAATGTCAAAATTAACTGCACCAAAGTTTATTCAACTATTCCTAATCTAGAACTATGAAAATATTTGTACAAGGTTAAATAAGTAAAAAATAACATTACAAATGTTAATGCTAATAAATGCAGGGTAACTACACAATTACAAACCACATAGGTACTATATCCAATCCTTTGAGGTGGATGAAGGTGTATTATCACATAACAATAGTGTAGAGAGAAACTTGAACCACCCCAAAAATAGAAAACTTCTGTGGATTCCTTTAGCTGTATTAATGTTCATAATAACTACTTTTTGTATACAATGTATGTTACTGTACTCCTGACTGGTACATTGTGTAATGTTGTATTATCACAGCTGACTGAAGAACTTTCCTTTCCTGGCACTTCTGTAAAGGAGAAATTCATTAGTTCATTAAAAATGTAGTATTTCTGTTTAAACTTGAAAAATGTGAGTTGAATGAATGAAGGATCAATAAAAAAACTCCAAGACAAACTCCTAACTTAAATAATGCCTTTTAGTACAGGCAATTTCAAATTACGACAAAAGGAAATGCCTCATCTTTATAACATTTTGCATTTTTCATTGATTTCAACTAATAAGCCATTTGTTACCTTTTCCCATTATTTTTTGCTGAATTTTTTAATATAATTTAATGGTACTTGCTTTACATGATATTTGTAAGACGCAATAAATGTTCTCCACAGAATTCCAAGTGGCCTATTGTCACTGTTGTCAGTTCAGCCAATTTTGTGACAATTCGACATTTCCTGGTAAAATACCAATTTCAAACAAAAAGTTTGCAAGTCAATTTGAATTTGCTTTGATCGACAAACTACAGTCACAATCTTGCAGCAGTTCTTGTAGGGACCCCTGAACCAGATGCACCAAGCATGGTATCGTTTTAACAGACTTTTGGGGAATTTTAAAAACTTATTTATATTTTGAATTTTAATTTTACAGTAAGAAATAGATCATATTTTTTAAGACAAAATTGGTATGAAATGTGTATATTTGTATATTTCAATACGAATAAAATTTAATATTTGCCCTGAATGTGCAGTAAAGTTCATTAGAAATGAATTTATAAAAATTAACTAAAAATCAATAAAATTAATAAAACATCATTTCTCCAAATTCAAATATCATCTGAACTGACTTTCATAAAATTATTTGTGATTTTCCTTTGCTTTGAGGAGAATTTTATCAACAATTTAGGTCATCACAATCTGCCCATTATTCATGATCTATAACAACAACTAGTAGTTCCGGCATGAATTATTTGCCGGATGTATATGAATATTGTATATGAATTATTATTCAATATACAGTGATTCACAAAACTGTTCAGACATTCATTAATTTAACCAAAAATTGCTGAATTTTTCTTCAGAAAACCACAATATCATTAGTTAACACACAAATTTGAAAGAAAAGAACGTTCTTATGTAAACATAATACATATTTCCAAAAATATGCATTTTTTTTTATTAAAATAAAAATAATTTGCTGATGCAGACTTTGCTTCAACAAAACTATTCAGACTTACCATCGAAACATGATAACAGATCTTTTGAGCTCTGAAGAGAACAATGAAACCTTCAACCCTTAATGCTCATTCTCAATGTTACCTGTTAGCCAATTAGTAGTAACTCACCATGATTATTCTTACGAATTTCCTGTGTCCGAATAGTTTTGCGAGTCACTGTATTCTGTCGTTGAGCTCTTAATAACTAACCTAACCTTCATTCCCCGTGAATTATTCATTCCCTTCAATGGTAAATGGAACGGCATATGTTCATTTGTGAGGTCCATAGAGTTAGTTGTTCAGCAATTCATCTTGATCACTATCTTAACAGACTTGAAACAACGGCTTTTAGCTAGCTGCATATCGTCACATTTCTTCTAATAAATAGTACTTTTTGTTTACACTCTTTATTATAAAGATTTAGAATTTGCAGAAAATATCTAACTCACACGTAGTGCAAGTCTATGGGGCATAGGGGCCTACTTCAAGCTAACAGACATAATAGTGCAAATTAATAACACTGGTTAGCCAGCTTGACCCCACCCTGAAGTAATGCGAAAGCGGTTCTGGGGTGGAACAGTCAAGGACCATAAAGGGTTTGTGGATTTAGTGGGTAAAAATCTCACCCTACCGAGGAGAGCAGTCCCTCCGAGGTGTCTTTCGAAGAAAAAAAAAAGTTGTTCTAGTAGTAGTTCTCTACAATATTGCTTTTCAAATTATTTTTCTTTACCAAATAGAGCTGAGACTTTAAATTTTGATTTTATTTTCCTTATTACTCTAAAGTTATATTGATGGTCTCTCTAATATAGTATTTTGAAGTTTAATGGTTAGAGGCAGTAAGCCTATAAGTACTGCGAATTAACATGTTCGTATTCTCGACATTCACCGTGAATTCGTCGGGCAATTTTGTCAGACAAACATTTTTGAATGGGCTGGTAAAGAGAATCTCTAACCGAACGCAATGTATCAAATGTTAGTTAATAATTTAGTTAATGAATTAGTTAATAATTTGTTAATGAATTAGTAATAATTTAGTTAATAATTTCAAAAATTCTGAGGATGCCTCTTCAAAATTAGGGGTTGTCTTATATTCAGGTAAATACAATAAATCAATAGCATTTCAGCAGAATAGAAATGAGTGCTTCTCATCTCCTCCTCCTTGTATATTACTACATAAGGAATGTATACATGCCACATGACAAATTTAAATAATTTAAAATTTTTTATAATAATAATAATAATGTCTTTATTAATGGCGAGGTTCAGGCCATAGGGCCTGCTCTTCCGCTAACCACAAACAATCTCTCCTCAGAGAACAAAAAAAAAAAGGAATTTAGTGGTATACAGCATATATACTTATCTTTAATAACAATATATTTATTTTTATGAAAAATAATGAAGATCAATATCCACAACAGATTTTGAATCCTCAGTCATGTCTTGCTTACATTACTCCTAATTACGCTTCTATAAAACTTGACATTCAAAGTATATTAATCAAAAATTAATTTCTGTATCAATTCAAACAGATGGGCGATTTCAGCAAGATATATCAATATCCCTTTTATCACTATTAGATTCTTCAATTTCAAAGTGCAATTGTTTCCCAGGTGGGGAAGAGAGTACTGGAAACTTACTTTATGGAATCACTACTCACAGAAATTTTGGGCACATATCTTGAAGTATCACTAGTGTCACTAAAGTCTCTAGTATTATATTGTAAAATGAATGTAATGCAGTAACTTGCATTGGTTACACTATTGCCTATGGGGAAACCAAAAGTACTGCACCAAAGGCCAAAGTAAAATTAGGAAGAGAATGGAAATTCTAATTTACAATATCTTCAACAATACCTCGCAAACTACTGCTACTTTACATCAGTAATGAACAATTTCATCTCAAGAGGTTAAAAATAAAAATATTTCAGACATAACAGTAAAAACAATATATTAAACAGTAACAAAGGAGGGTTTGATATTGGAGCTCTCAGATTTAAACAGATTAACATAAGACTGTCAAAAGTACTGGAAAATATACTGGAAAATACATATGTTAAATAACAGGACATTTAAGCAATGTTTGTTCATATCTCATGCCAGCAGGTGAAATACATGAATTCTATAAACAGAGATTGACAAATAGAAATATGAAGTGAACAAGAGCAGTGAATTGCGATTGTATTGTCAAAAATGAGTGAGGACAGGCAGAAAGCTGCAAGCAGTGTTAGGAGAGATAATGATGTCAGATGAAAGAAAGCGATATTGTAGTAATACTCTTGTACTACCATAACATAATAACCATAAATAATTTTTTTTCTTTTAAATAACAATCAATACAAAAGAAAGCTAGGTATGATATTTAAATTAGTTGAAGAACGTACAAATGATAATTTTGACAAAGGTGACTAAAAATTTAACTTTCCTTTTTGCATAAATTGGAATTTATGTATTTTATAATGTAGTATGCCGTTTTACGTTGGTATAGTATACCGTATTTGTTCGTGTATAGGCTGCACTAATGATCTTTGACACAATAATTTGGAGAGAAAAAATCTTGTATATAAGCTGCAATGAACTTCGACGAATAGGAATCAAGCAGTAGGGAGTTAGTTCGATGTTGACGAGAAGGATGTGAGGTAATGTATTCAAGACAAAAACCTTTTGGAAAATACCAATTGCAATACCAAGTGTATTTCGAGGCACGGAATGTAAATATCAAACACTTGAATTGATGGAATCCATTAGGCAAACTTGGAGCAACGATTTTGCTATTTTCCGAGATGCTGCAGTTCGGGGTCAGCAAAATCACCAGGAAACTGTATCCCCTGTACCAAATTTCTAAGGAGCTGCAGGTGGGCGAGTGAAATGTTCCCATAAGAACTATAGGAACACGAACCACGCAGCACTATTGCTACGATACATGGATTTCAGAAGGAAAACTATGACAAAGGAGAAATTTCGCGCCAGGATAATAGTGTGAACCCAGGAAAATGGATGAAAACCTCAACTGGTCCTCCTGGACTGAATGAAGTATGCGGGGTTGCAGCAGCTTGGTGCGCTGATGAAACAACGATCCACGCTAGTTTTGAGCCGTTTCTAGTCTCGCACAGCCCAGAGGTTAAGAAGTAAACAGAAGATCAATGGGGTGATAGTAGCAATACCAATCAGCAAGACCAGGATGCTGCAACTTAGATGTAGCAATAAACCTACATTTCAAAGTGCAAGTGCGACGTTTGTACCATTCGTTGGCATAACGAACTGAAGACTCGCCTCCAACTGGCCACCTCAAAACGACCACAGTGACCGATATGTGGCAGAGGATTTTGGATGAGTAAGCATTTGTTTCAGGAGAACTGATCGTGAAAAGTTTTAAAGTATGCATCATTTCAAATAAGATGAATGAGAGAGGACAATGTATTACGGAAGGGTTCCAGCGATTTTGAAAGTGACAACAAATCAGGTGTGAAGTCCGTGAATTCAGGAATGATGAGAGTAATTTATCTTAAACATGTTTACTATGTACATTTGTGAAAAATAAATGTTATTTTCAGCATAAAATTTTGTTTTTCTGGCAATGATTTTTTCAAGTGCGGCTTACACACAAGCAAATACGGTATTTAAACGACTACAGCAGTCATCAGACAAAAACCATTATATTTAGTTAAAAAGAATAAAATATGTGAATTATTCCACAATATTGAATAAACAGGGTGGCTAAAAATATCCAACTTTCCTGGTTTCCTACAAAATTTAAAAAAATTTTCACTGATAAGATTTATAGCATATTTCACACTAATTAAAGAAAATAGTGCAGCAAGCCTGAAACTAATTTGTCAGCTCTTTGATTTTGCCATGATGAAATTCAAATTAAACCCAAACAGAAATCAAGCAAAAAATAAAATTTTACTATAATTCTTAGGAATAACATTAGCTTTCTATCTATCTCTAAATTTTCCCAGAATCATAATGATTCTTCCACAAATTCCCAGATTTTTCTAGAGCAATGAAAGTCCCTTATTATCACTGGTTTCCTAGAAAGTGGCCACTCTGCAAAAGTGAGAAAAGAAACAATTGATATCCCTGTTGGAAATCAATATGGGGGTTCATTAAATATTGAGATTATCACCCCAAAACCTTGTACCGGAAAACTTTTCGCTAGTTCATAAATAATTTTTTATGACTACAGAGGTACTTTCCCCATTGTTAAGTAATTTGGAATATACTGGGTTTAAGAAAACAAGATCGGGCAACAATACAACATACAATAAAATTAGTAAATATACTGACAAAAGTATAGGGGGGAAAAGACATGAAACCTTGCAAAACTTCTACTTTAGGCATTAGGTCTTTGACCTGTTGCTATATGACATTAAAAAGCATATAACAAGAACTTATTTGCTTAAATAAAAGTAATTATATTTTATAAGATAAAAATTACCTAAATGTTCCTATTGGAGTACTGAAAAAGCCGCCAGTTCGCTGAATGGAAGAAGATGAAGGGTTACGACTGCGTAAGCCTATCATTTCAGGAGTTTGATTTTCCTGTGCTGAATTTACATGACAGGCCCAATAGCTGGATGGTGTTTTCATCAAGAGAGACATAACCTCAACTTGTTGCATGGTTTCTTTCATCATTTGTTGAGGTTCCGGGTTCGGGCATGAATAGCCCACAATGGTTGGGCCAAAAATTTTTGACAAGTTGGAAGCTGGCATCTTGCACTCAGGGCACTCTGAAACTCTACAATGAATTAGAATTTAACAACAAGAAAGTGAACATGCATATGCATTTTATTAACCTATTATAAAACCAAATTTATTAAGCATATAGCAATAGTGAAGTAAGTTCACATGTAATTATACTGTAAATTTAAAATATTTCAGCCAACAGCAATTAAGAAGTTTCCACCAAAGAATAAGCTTTATCAGACAATTTTAACTGAGTAGAATTCTAATATTTCAATATTATCCCTGTATGCAATATTATTAAAACAAACCTTTGAAGATGAAGGAGTATGAAAGCCAGTGTGTCCCTGTTAGGCCTTGGAAGCTCTGACACCACCTGATACAATCGAGCTTGCTGATCAGCTTCTTCTGAAGGTTCCACACAACGTACAAAGTCTGACCACATGGATGGCATAACCAATGGCTCACGTAGAGATCGCAAAAAATCTTTAACAAGACTACATATTACGTGGATATCCACAGATGATAAGTTAGGTGCACCGCGTCCCCTCAAGAATTTTTCTTTCAGATTTTTCACATCACGTTCTGAGCCAGATACTCTGTAAATACCAACTTCCTTCAAACCTCGAGCTTCGATTTCGTTCACACAATGGAGAATAAGTGCTGGTATCATCGGTGGCACATTAGGAGTGAAATCGGATATGTACCCCTGAAAACAATTAGTAACTTTATTACAATAATTACCAGAGATTAACATTTTCCAACATCTATTTAGATTACTTTGCATTTGCACATTTAAAAAGATTCCAGAGCAGGGGCAGTTTTTACATGCAAACAAAACCTACCTTTTAAACATGTCTAAAGGTTTTAATAATTCTTTATATTTTCTATACTACAGTAATACTTTTATCAACACTATACTCTGTATAACTACAACTGACAACTAAACTTGGATTTATTTAGAGCTGCCTGTGACGTAAATCAGCTGTTAGTGTCATCCAATAAGAAGGTCGAACATCACCACAATGACATCACTGTGGTGTCGTGTACCCGACTGGATGAAACCATAACAGCTGATGACCTGTCAAAGGCAACTGCAAATAAATCACCATATACCCCTTGAAAAATTTGGCACAAAGCAACCATACATTTATATAACAAGAAATCCCTTCACCTAAACTTGTTTCATCAAAATCATATGCAGAAGGAGAATAGCAGAATTGGTTCGAGATTCCTACAATGATTTTTGCTTTTCCTTCAAGTTTCATGTTCATACTGTTAAATTACCCCCTTTTAACACTTTCAAAATCAATTTTTCTCGCACTTTGCACTTTTTGAAGACACTATGGATCTGTGAATGCAATTTTTTAAAGATACTTTGGCTTTCTCTCACTAAAGTAGATTTATACTGTTAGCTATGAATTCTGATCAATCGAGGGATTTCAGTTTTAAAGAAAATCAGCTGAACAGTTGTGTGGAGGCACTGGCATTGCCCACAGACAGAAGTTTTGCTGTAAAAACAATTTTTCTGTATGAAGGATCCACAAAATATGGATTCTGGCTACACCTCGTGTTAGAGGAAGTAATTTACTGTAAATGGCAACAGGATGTATCCGCTTTCTCATAGCAAGGGCTCGGCAATAAAAGTTTTTCTGCAGAAAATTTGCTGTCTTTCAGAGCATGATGACTCAAGTTTCTCTTCTGTGCGAGGACGTGTGTATAATGCACGCACACGCACACAAATATATAAAAATAAAAACAACACTTTCTATAGTAACGAAGATTTTGATGGTGCTTACCAGAACTCCTTTTTGTGTAGGTGTGCAGGTAGCTGGAACGCATGGTAAAGGAAGTTTGTCTCGGCATTCTGAATGAACAGTAGCACGACATTCTCTGCATTTTGCAGCGAGTTTGCCAAACTTTATCCGTTTGCCACATGGTTCACACATATCAGCTTTCACCATTGTCTTTTGACAAAAAGTATGAACTCTGCTGTTAATTTTGTCACGGGCAAAATTTATTCCAGAATGATAAGGACTAGGCAGATGCACAACTGCTGGCTCTTTGACACAAATCATAGATTCCTCAGACTCTGTATGCAAAACAAAATAATTTTCAGTAATTAATGAGAATTCTAAACATGTGCCCAGGTTCATTATATATTAACATCTTCAAATACCAACTGCAAATTGTATCAGCATATTTGACAAAGATAAGAGAATATTAGAAATGTGTATAAATGTAGTCTCAGATTACTAAAGACAAATATCACAAGAGTCTGGGAAGAAACGGGCAGCAGTGACCTATGCCCAAAAATAAGCGATGTTCGAAAACATAAATAACCTGAACCTTATCTCCAGAGCCAGGTTTCTTAAATAGATATCGGTTTTATGTCTCTCCGGCCTTACAGAGGAAACTCATAAAGAGTAACCACCAAGATTACAGAGAGTGGGCAGGCCAAAGGTGAGTCATGCTCTGATTCTGTCAACCAGTCTCTGTCAGAAGCCTCTTTATCATCACTGACTACTACACAGAAAACGCTAAAGCAACTACTGCAAATGAAGACATTTAATCTCTTTTGTAGAACCAAGAAAATTTTGCAAAATTAGAAAAACAACGCAAAGTAATTCACAGAGGTAGTATTTCAAAATTTGATATACTGCAAGTCAGTTTATGGAGAAAGGGCAAAAGGCAAAAAGATAGTTTCTAGACTTTCATTTTTAAGTATTTTATTTTATATACAAGAAATCTTGATTTCTTTAATGAAATAATAAGAAAAATTGTTATATCATCTCCTGATTGTGAAAGAAACTAAATTTTGCTTACCACTGGAAGAAATCTGCTTGGGCGGTGCTGATGGAACAGGGGTAGCTGTTGGTTGAGTTGTAGAAAGCGGTCTTCGCAATGGAGTCTTTGAGTATGTTGATTTCTCTTCATTAGAGATGGTTTCAATTGTTGATTTTGCTGTTACAGGACCTTCTCGGGGCATAGTCACTGTAGTGGTTGCTATCAAGCATTCTTTTGACTGTACAGCCAATCCATTTGCCTTAAGAAACAAGACCTATGAAGATATATTCTACACAGAACATGCCAACAACTTGTTGCAAGAAATACCTCAGATGACTGCACTGATTGGAATGTGGTGAAACTGGAACGAGGTTTTTTGGGACCTGATGGAGCATCTAAAGGGTTAGATGGACGATGCTTGCGCCAACCTTTACTGTGACGTAATGATCCTTCCAACTCGTCTTCTGATCGAGTGTAGCCCAGTTCAGAGAGCAACGAGCCTGTCATAAAATTTAAATTCATTAAATGCTGTTTCATTTACTATCACAAATCCTCAAGAATTGGAAGACATACGACCATTTGTTAACTTGCCACATGTTCCAAGATTTTAATTTCAATATTTGTATTAACTAGAAAACAAATAGAAATAATGACTTGAAACAAGATACAACGTCAAGAAATTTACTTTCTTACTATTAGAAATTCATCAGGTACGACTATGTTGAACAATTTAGTATGACGTAGTACTAAAATTCATAAAACAAACCAGTTGAATCCAGGGCTTCAGAAATGGTGCTTAGTCCACCTTCAGATTCACGAATCCTCTGACCATGAGATTCCCCCATCCCTTTATTGCCAATTGAAGCAACTGATGGACTTGCTCGACTATACACTGAAGCAAGGCGTTCACGTGTTTCATCATGAAGTTTATTTCGACCATCCCACACTAAATCTCGCACTAATGCCATTTGATTTTCCTGAAATAAATGACACTTTGTAGACTGCACAATTACAGCATTGACATGGAAAAATGCATAAATCAATATTAAAGTGCCTACTCTTCTCCAGCAAGGTACTTTAGTCAGAGCAAAATTCTGAATGAAATATACATCTCTAAATCATTTTCTTGTCCACAAAATGAGTTCTCCTGAACATGAGAAATGATGAATGCTACATTAAAATTGCAATTCTTTATTTCTCACCAATGCCTGGACTTTTCCTTCTGCTTTTCGTGACTTTTTTCTTTCCAGATCCAACATCTGACGAGCTGTGTGGAGTTTTCGCTCCGATTCTGTTCTAGCAGCATTTGCTGCCTGGACTTCTTGCATTAAGCGGGAGCATTCTTTCTGAGCTGCCATTAACTTCAAGCGAAGCTCTTCCACACCAAGTGCAAAGCGCAGAAATTCTATAAAACACATTATTACAGTATGAATATTGGGAGTTTAAGTACTTATAATTACAAGATTTTGAAAGCCTAAAAAAAGTCTGGAAACCTATTATACTCGTGACAATTTATTGTGAAAATAACAAACCTTAAATTTGCAGTCCGTTTTTTATATAATTCAATTCAATGTTTAAAGACTTGTGAAAATTAAACAATTTCCAGGACTGCTAGAATGCTTACCTGGCTCACAGGATCCATCAAGCAAAACATTTGTTAAGCGATTTATATCATCATATTCAGCTAACAAAGACAACGTCATCTTGAAATTAACAAACCTGTGTAACACAAAAGTCATCAACACTAGAGCCTTAGGAAGCAAATCTATAAACACAAAATTCATGTCCCATCAATAACAATTACCTGAACTAAAATAATCTAAAATTAACCAAGTAATCTTCAAACAATTAGTAATCTATTACAAATCATTCACCAGTAAATTCCAAAAACCTGCAAAGAAAATGGAGAAATTATATTCTTTGATATGAAGCACACAGTACACCATCAAGTTTAAACTAAGACTCTCATTAACCCAATATTCCACTGACAAATATTCTCTTACATCCCACACAGGAATAAAACGAACTGTAAATTCAGCTGTATAATGCAGAAATTTACCTTTTAACTTGTTTTCAATGTTCATTCCGAAATGCAAACATTACGACATACGACAACGTATTCGGTTCATTCCACCAAGCCACAAACAGGTCATAAAAACTGCTACAATAAATTTCACGTTTGCAAAAGCGAAGGCGAACGTACAGGTTACCAACGACCGCAACGTGTGGCAATGAGGCAAGTAGCTTCCATCGACGAAACTGCAATTTTCAAAACTGACCAATGTGGCTTCTAGCTAAGCGCGGGAATCGGAAACGACCGAATACCAACGAAGATAAACAGTTAAATATTTTGTTACTAGATAGCATTGAAGGTAATACAATTTCAAACATTTGAATAATGGCGCTGAAAATATTATTATAAAAGTGTACGTTAAGTTAAAATTTACTTACGGTGTTTGTACTGAAACCATCATCTGATAGGTAAGTCGATTTTTAACAAATCTTTTATTCATTTGATTCATTTTACTTCTGTTGCTCAAACATTAAATTGCCTTATATTAAAATAGTTTAACGCATCGTGTCATAACTTCACCACCCATAACCCATACGTGTATATAAAACTACTTAGTGGTTAAACATGTAATTTAAAACTTTTTTTAACTGTATTTACGAATTTCAATTGCTTATTCCGAGAAAAATTATTTCTTGAACAAAAATATTCAAATTATCACGAAGGTTAAAAACAGAACCTGTCTACATAAACCGGGAAGTAATTTATCATAGGTAATACGAGTGCTTTGGAAATTCGATAAATTCCCGATTTGCGAAGCGAGAAGGGGATTTATTTGAGAATTTCCAAAGCAAGAGTGGTATTTAATAGGACTATGCCACGAGTGAAATTATATCCAATAGTTCCAAAATGCGCCAAATATTGAAAATAATTGAAACCGTACGTTAAAATCGGAAGTTATGTTTCAGTACATACTTGGACATCGACATAGCGATCAATGTATAACGCCTCCTAAAGATGAGTCATCGTTTATTATTCGCCAATAAAAGCGGTAAAAATATCGGATAGAAAAAGCGATACAGTTTTTTAGATACACCGCCTTAATGGGGCATCTTGTACGTATAGTTAAACACTATTAGTTTTAATTTCACGAGTGGAATATTCTGAATAATAAAGCAGTCTCACAAAATGACAAAAGATGCAAGGTAAAATTTCCCCAATAAGAGCAGTATAATATCGAAATTATTTGCCTAAATTACACTTTTTCCGAATCATCCTAGTATAATCTCAGCCTGAACACCCCAAGTTCGCCCTTAATGAAGAGTGAACATCTTGATTCAGTCAGAAAATTCGAAATCATTTTGACTTATGAATTTGATTCTTATAAAATGATTTCTGTCCGTTTTTAAGATTCATGAGTTTTAACAATACATTTACATTACAAATATAACAGAGGTATGTATCCTTGTTACAAAATAAGAGCTTAATTCAAAATTTGTGTTGGAGAGGAGAACAAGATTCTTTTAGGAGAAAGCGCCAGTTTTATTGAATCTAGGTATCAACCTCGTATAAGGATGAGCCTTAGGGGCCTTTTTTAGGTATCGACAATTGTTATTAGTCACGTAACGTAAAATAGAATTTTATGACCTATCGCAATTAACTCATTCCAACGAAAGTCTTCACATTTAATTTATAGTCAAGTACATATTAAGTACGTTCAGTTTTCAACATTACTAATCTATTTTTGTTCACAGTTTTGTGGTAGAAATATTTTCTAAGTTTATTTTTCGTGTTCTTACCCAAATTTGAAGGGTGGAGGCAAATGCCCAATCATGCTATAAACTGGCCAAGTACATATTTCATTATTATTATGAATCTACTGAATTCAATGTTCCTGCAACGGCGTATGCACACACGAGGGCCCGTGATCGTTTGTACCGCCAATACTAATTCAGCTGCAGCTGTATTGTCACCCACCAAACGTCACCGTCTGTTAGCCTCTCTCTTGCGGTTTTTTAAATAAGAACACTTTAAGTCAAATACAAAGCTAATATATATTATTCGTGAATTCATATAACCAGAAGCAATCGGCAAATGTTATCTTTCTCGCATCCACAGATATTATAGAAATACATACGAGGGATTGATACATTGAGGTGTTTATTTTGCCAGAAAGCTTTTTTCGGTCACATTGCGACCATCTTCAGTGCTACACAAATTAAAACATATCTAAATTACAAATAAAATGTTATCTAATACAGAATATTATTACGAATTTAATAAAAGTAAAATTTAAGCAAAATAGAAAAATTGGAGTATAAAATGCGAAAATGTCATAATTTTGAAGAAAGAACCCGCAGATATCTTGTTCCTTATCCTTATCAGCGATTAATTTTCTGAAGTACTTTCCCCAAGGTTTCGCCAAACTTCGAATATCTTGAAGACGCCACTATGGATTCTAGAATATGCTACATAAACATATCAGTTTTGGATCTTGTCTTCATAATCTTACTCATTCAATAAATTGTCGAAAAAATATTTCCATTAGCATCGTAAGAGTTAATACGTAATAACTTTAATTTATTTATGTTTTAAACACAGATTAATTAGTTAATATTTTAATGTTTTAGTACAGTCTCCTTGCTCGAAGCAGTGATGGCACTGCTGAGTAATGTCTTTATTCCACCAGTAAACTGGTAACGTCGGTGGTTGACTCCTCTTCTGGGCAGATGTGCATCACAAGCTTTGGTTATCCAGTTCATAATTTGGCTAACCTTTGCCTCTGCCGTCCCTGATGGTACAAAATTCTCCAAACAAAGGAGGAATACTTTATCTTCAAATGCTTTGGCTTTCCATCCCCTCACCTTACATCCAGATCCAAAGTCACCCGTTGTTTGATATTGCACCTCGACCCTGATGGTAGCCGTGTTTGTAGTGTTCACTGACTTTGCAGGATACTCCCATTACCAACAAGCTACCTATCATAAATGTTATATATACCACTGATCCTAGACCACCTCTGTGGAAGGTGTGTCTGTATCTGGTGTTAATGAGCACTACGTTCAAGATAGATAATGACTCTAGCACAGTTCGACCTCTTTTGTTCGTTGCCGAGCTACCCCTCTCCACAGCCCACGCGTTGAAGTCCCCAGCTATCAAGAGGGAGCTGCGTCCTCTGGCATCAAGAACTAGACGGTCAAGGAATTGTTCAAACTCATCAAAAGTAGCGTTTGGTGACGCGTAGCAGCTGTAAATAAAGATTCTATTTAATTTGACCCAGACGAAACCCACTTCATCTCGTATCATTACTTGTTGAAATGGACGTTTCCCTGATACCCAAATTGTTTTTTTTTTTTTTCAGTGGACGGATACCCATGATGAATCGTCGCGATTTCTATATTGTTCACACAGGATCGCGACATCTGTCTCCCATTTCCTCACAGACTGAGCTAGGATATCCTGAGCAACTTCACAATGGTTCAGATTTACTCGAACGATTCTCATGGTCTGTCCAATATTGCCTTTAGCGCTCTTTGGAAATAATGACACAAGTTACACCTGGTAGCATGTTTGCTGACTTTGCCGTTTTGTACGCACTGCAGATACTTTGGATCCTTCGTAGATGTCTTTGCCAAGTGATCACCTTCACCGCAATTCATGCACAAATTTGATCTGTCGCCGGACTTTTGAATGTTCGACTCATGTGTTCAAAATATAAGCATTTGAAGCATCTCAGAAGGGTGTTCCTCTCACGCAATGGGCAGTTTACCCTTCCTATTCTGACATTACTCACAGCTAACAGGGCGTTGGCCACGGTGCCCGGGAGACTACTGCCACCTGTGTTCCCCATATGCTGGTGTCAGGAATGTAACTACTGATGCAGGTAAATCCTTTGCGTCTGGAAACTGATCAACCAAAGCACCGTGGACTTCTTCTTTGGTAGTGACCTCATCCAGACCCTTCACCTGAATGGTCAGTTCATGGGTGAGTGTTCTCACATCAGCATGCGAACCAAAAGGGGGAGATCGTTGCATGCTGTCTTCTGGATATGAGTGATATTTGAAGCCAGATTCTTCAGCTCAGAATCACCATTAAGTTTCCTCAATATGTCCACGTAGGATAAGCCATAATCTTTTTTTGCTTATTAACAAAGTATCTGTCTTTGGTGGCCTTTTTCGGGTTTACGAACGCTTTTCCTTCTTTTTTCTGCCAACCTCTTGCCACTCGAACTCGCTTGATATTGATTCTAAGGAGTTTCTGCCCGGGTTTCGTCTTCATTCTTCGGGGTTTCATTAAATTCCGTGGCCGCTTTTTCTTGATGTTCACGATTGCGCGGTGACTTGCTCTTCGTCTTCGCCCCTGAACTCACGACTTGTTGCTTTTCGGGGGACGTCTTGAGTGCTCCTCTCTTCTATAGGATTCGTAGTAGGCTGAGGATCTGGAGAGGACGGTCGTCTTTCTTGAATCGCAACCACGCCATTAAAACATGTGCGAATTACAAAGGCTAATTTCTTGTTCTCACCATCTACATTGTGGCGAGGTTTGACAAACTCAAGAAGTTCAATGACCTCCTTCTCGAGATTACAAAGAGCTTCTGGTTTCTCTTCACCTCTCTAATAAGCTGCTACAGCTACATGTTTTCCCTCTGTAATATCACCTTGGATGTTACATGACGAAGCCTGAAGTACAGCTTCCGAAATTGCTACCGGTACCGCGTCAGCTTCTGGGGTACCAGAAGGTACGGCGTTCTTGGAAGCTTCCCTCCCACCGCTTAATCTGCAAGTACTAGCTGTCCCAAATATATTACTCCAAGTGTCAAAGGCAAAACATCATACGACAATAAGTAAAACAAATAAGCCAATACGTAGAGCTAACAAAATTAAAAACAATATACTGAAAGATGAAATTATTAAAATATACAAAAACAAGTTACTGTCTTGCTTTCTTACCTCAGTCAAGTAGATGTGCAAGATATGCATCTGACGACGCACTGTCGTCAGTGCTGCTGTTATCAGTATCGCTGGAACCCAAACCTCCAAGATAGATAATAAATGAGTCGATGGCGTCTTCCCATCATTCTTCCTTGTTCTTAAGAGTGTGATGGGTGAATCCCTCCCAATCAACTGTAGATACAGATCTCAAAGCATCTGCAGTCACTTCTTGCAACTTTGAAAGGGATAAATCTCCAGAAACGCTGTATTCTTTGATTTTCTCTGCATTTTGGCCCAGGCTAACTCTATTGGTTTAGATCACACATATAATGCGGCAAACGAATTACTGTATGGTCATATGCTTTACACGTAATGTCTGTACGGTAGACTTTTTGTGGAGGGTTGTGCTGTACGATTAAGTCGAAACTTTTTCATAGTCATGGAACAAGCAATGTTATTATTTATTGAGCCAGACAACCATCTCCTGTTTTACAGCTTACTTAGGAAAAGGCTTGTTCTCTTGGAGTCAGTGATAAGGTGCATTGTCAAGCACAATCACACACTCTTTGGGGAGGTTTGGCAACTGCTTTTCATTTACCCATTTTTCAAAATTATCCCCGTTTATATGGCCATAGTAATCACCTATAGCTATTCCAATCTTAAAAATCAAAGTGGCATCGTCGATAAAGTCTTCCTTTGAACCGGCACAACAATTATGAGCCTGTTTGAGGATCTTGTATTTGTCAAAATTCTGGGAACATCCGCTCGCTACTCCAGCTTTTTCCAAATGTAAGATTATTGCCAACCCATGTCTCATCAAGATAAATTATTTGTTTCACATCATTTCTGCAATATTGAATTTAAATTGAAATTATTATTTTCTAATTGATTTCACAGTTTGAACAGATTCTCCAGTATTGTTTGCTACCCGAAAATCGCTGTTATGCAGCGTGTGTTGAAGAACGTCCGAATTATTTTCTTCGTCACCTTTCGTAATAACGAGAGTACGATTTTCCTAGCTTCACTGTATATTGTTTGCCTTTCCTACGAACAGAAGCCATACCGTTCCACCAAAACTCGCAAACAAAATTAAAATAAATACGGTATACACTTGTGTTACGAACAATAAGCAAACTCTTACAACAGAAAACACATAGTGAAGAAGCGTGGACCGAGCCTGGACTGTGATTCACAAAGCAAGCGTGTCGAAACCCGGCCGATGCCAGTAGTACGAATAGTTGCTCGGTTGGCATAGTAATGGTGACGAATGCCCGAGATAAGGCGGAAGACACCCCTCTCCCCGCGCCCCGTGTACCCTACACGCGAAAACAAGTCAGCTCCCGACTATACCCCGCGCGTAGGCAAAGAACACATGAACAGCACCTAAAGCGCAGACGTTTGGGGGTACCACACAGGTCACTGGGTAGCAAAGAAGGTCACTGGGGGAAGACTATGTAAAAAGGTCACTGGGGGCGGCAAAGGCCAGCGCCGTCTGTGCCACTGTCTCTCTGTGTGTCTGTCTCTGTGCCTGCTGGTCTGTCGGTCCGTCTGTCTCTGTATCTCTGTTTATGTCTGTCTCTGCCTCTATGTCTCTCAGTCCCTGTCTGTCTGTCTCTGTCTCTCTCTTTCTCTCTCTCGCGCCGCCGGTCTTGTTCTCGTCCTCACCCTGCGTCACACGGCAACGCCCATCAATAATGAAGCCCAGATGGAGCTCAGTATGAATGGAAATTGAACTAAAATTAAGCGCAATCTTGTGCTGCAGCTCCATTTAGTGGAGTTACAACAAAATTAAGAGCAGAAAATCCTTCTGCGTGAAAAACATTGAGATGTGCCATCTTTCATGGGGAATGGACACACGGTTCTACTGCACCCTTGCTGTCCTGGGAATATATTAGGAACCTGACTCTTAGCGACACGCGAAAAATAATGATCGTGGAGCATCTACCAGCATATCATTTAAATTATTTATTTTCCGCATTAGTGATGTATTTTTACATAATTTGCGACACTACCAAATGCTGAAGAAGAGCCTATGAAGTCTCCGTATCTACTCATATACTCATCTTTGAAAATTCAATGTCGATTACATGACGTTGAATTCAATTTTATTAGCATAGAAAATCAGTTTTTAAACATGATAGATTCGTGAAGTTTACATACTAAATGTGAGTTATTTGTGTATACTTTTAATACAGTTAAAAAAATTTCACTTTTTCAATTTTCGAAAAATTAGGATTTTTAACTAACATGAGACCTGCACCATTTTCTTAAACGTCCTTCGGACTATCCAACAAAATGTTTTCAAAATCGATTGATTCATTTTCTTGAAAATGTCCCAGGTGCATCATGTAAAGTACCCCCAAAAATTAAAATATCAGTTTTAAATTCAAGGGGCCGCGACATCCGCCAGATCAATTAGGATATGAATTTTGGAGAAGATCAGCTGAACTAGCCGCTAACGTTATTCACATAAGGATGGGCAGACAGACGTTTCGTCGTCAATCGATTTTTCGGTATCAAGGGCTCACAAAACATTTTTTAAATTTAACAACTATATTTATCCAAGTTCTTGTTACCAGGACCCTGTAAGACGAGTTTTTCTGAGGAAAATTTGCGGTTTCTTCGCGCAACGTTACATAATTTTATCTCTATCACGGATGGTTAAAGAGTAATAAGTAGAGAAATTATAAAATGATACAAGTTCCATCAGATAATATCAGGAAAACAGGAAATGAAATGTCTACATTGCCGTCCGGGGATAAGAGATCAAGTATATCCTTGTTTGTTTTATGTTGTTTGTATTCTGTTACTGTTCTTTGTCGTCGAATCTGACTCGTAGGTAATGTGAACTTTTAAATAAAGCAAATTTCAAACAAATAATGCAATAAAAGAATACTGAGGGCATTATGAATATCGTGGCACACCGCAAGTTGATTCTGCTTATGTAGTTGGTCTCCTAGCGAACGAATGTTGTGGTGTTTAGGCGATTGAAATTAGTAAGCCAATATCAATTATGATCACACCAACGAGAAAATTATTTTTATGCGGAAAATGAGACATCTCGAAGACATTACATTAAGTTAAATACACTGTGAAAAAATCGCAATCATATTCTTTAAATTGATAATTTAAGTTGATAAGTTCTCTTACTTTCGCCTCTCATTGAATATTGAAACCATCGTTAGAAGTTAATTGTTTAGTGACTAGATAAAGCCATGCAAATTATGTGTTTTTCCTTTATAATTGGTTAATATTGGAAAGGGCATTAAATCACTAAATATGATGAAAGAAGATAAACGATTAATTACCTTTTCATTTTACGAGTCTGTAAAAGCCCAACTAGCAATACGAAGAATGTTGGCATTGTCCACTCAGTTGTGAGATCAAACTAATGTTGCTACAAAAGCACATTCTTTGTCACATTGTTAGTAACATTTGAAAATTTTGAAAATTAAGAGAATTCAACCAACGTACTTGCTCCATTTTTTTGTTTTTGAGAAAATCTTGTAATAATCTAGCTTTTGTTGCTGGCAGTATTTCGAGAAAACTGTTCACATTTTGAAAAAAACGTGATGTTCTAGATCTATTTTTGAAGAACAAATTTTATTACGAAAACTCTCTATCTTCAATATTGATACTGTAAAAAGACGCCGGAAAAATTTTAACTTTCGTAATTTTTGGAAATTCAGAGAATTTTCAAAAATCTAATCTTCGCTATTTTTATAAGCGTACCCCCTGCCCCAAATCAAACTGTTTCAAATTCATGGCATCGCATAATCAACCGGGGATTACCCACGGGAACATGAATTATCTACTTTTTCAATCTGAGGACCATACTCTCAAAACATGGCTGCTTACGCAGTAAAGAGAAAGTTATGTAATGCTGCGCATAAAAAACGGCGAATTTTCGGCAGAACTACTCTTATTACAGGGCCTTGGTAACGAAAAGATGAATAAATCCAGTTGCTAAATTTAGAAGAGAAAAATTTCCAACACGTGGTGTAGCCAGAATCCATGTTTTGTGGGTTCTTGATACCGAAAAATCGAATGACGGGAAAAAGTCTTTCTCTCCGTCTGTGAACAACGCTAGCGGCTAAACCGTT